AGGTGGGAGGGGAGGGAGGAAGGGGAGGGGAGGGGGAGGAGGAGGAGGAGGGAGGAGAGAGGCGATACACAGACATGCGCGGTGGCAGCTGGCGAGACCCCACCAGGAGAGGCAAGGCAGCCTGAGAGCCCCACTCGAGGTGAGCAGGCCCAGGGTCTGGGCCCCCTCCACCTCTGGCTAGCTGTGTGACCTTCAGCTAGCTGCTCCTGTTCTCTGAGCTTCCAAGTCCTCTGTCCGATGTGGCTCCTGGCTCCCAGAGGGTCACAGGAGATAGGTTTAGAAGGCAATATGGCTACCATAGTGAACTTACGGAATACCAGCCATAGGAACAACAATGGCTCCAACTCCTTATACCAGGCCAGCTCTGTGCTGAACCCCAGGGGTGCTGGTGACCCCTGCCTCAGACGGCTGGTGATCAGAGGGTAAGTGGATGGACCATAGATAGCTTCCTGGAAGAGGTGACATCTGAGCTGCAGGCTGAAGTATGTGAAGGAGACAGGCCATGGGGAGTAGGAGAATGTTCCAGAACATTCTGGAATATGAAAAAGGCTGGGAGGTCTCCCAACAGCATGGCATAGTCTCATGTTCACAGATCCTACAGCTGAACTCAGAGAGGTGAAGCTGCTTCCTGAGGTCACACAGCCAGGATGGGATAGAGCTAGGTTCTGGGTGGAGGCCATTCTCCCAGCAGAGCCTGAGGATTTGGTCACCAGGAGAGACAGTAAGCACCCAGAACAAAACCGGGTCCCCACCAGGGACAGGAGCAGATGTGAGGGGCTGCAGGGGGTGCCCCAGCCGGCTCCCTACCTCTGCCCCTGGCTGGGAGACCCTCCCCCAGGACCCCACCCTGCAGAAGCACGGTACCTCCATCAGGTCTATAAGCCACAGCAGCCGCTCCTGGGGAAGAAGGATGGGCAAAAGGCAAAAATAAACATACACAAAATAAACATTAGGGCAGGGTGCAGCCGCGGTCGCAGCAGCCCCTTCCCCAGCCCAGGCGCATGCATGCAAAGCCTTGGTGTGCAGGAACATGGTGGGGAAGGAAGAAATGACCTGGGTGCACAGCCAGCGCCCTGCGCCCCGCCGGCCTCCTGAAGGGGCCTGGAGGCCCCTGCTCTGCAGAGACGACTCTTGACCTTGTCAAAGGGCCCTGCACCGGTGGGGCCCCAGCTGGCAGATGGAAAAATGGGCTGAGTGGAAGAGAGCGACCTGTTCCGGGCTGCACCAGCAATGCCAGGCAGGGCTTCCAGACCACCGAGGCAGAGGTCTGTGTAACAGAGCCCGAGGCCGAGCTGGTCGTGCCCGTGGGGTAGGATGAAGGGGGCAGCAGACCCCAGCCTGGTGCTTTGGAGAGCTCTGGTGCTCCGGGCAGTCTTCCCTGGCAAGTAGAGAGGTTGGAAAACCAACCAAGGCTCTGCTCACCCTCAGGAGTGGGCCAAGGGAGCTTCATCCCGGCCCGCCCCAGGCGGGGCGGGGCTCTCTCCTGGCAGGTGGGGAGGGGGTGGCTCAGCCCTGGGGGGGGGGAGAGGCCAGAGGAAATGGTGACCTCCCACCTGCTGGCTCCTGCTTAGGCTCCACCCCCCGCCCTTCCCCCACTCCTAGCACATCCTGGCCTGGGTCCCCTGGGGTCCTGACCCTGACCTCATCCTCCAGGCCCACCTGGACTCTCCGAACAACAGACTCTCACCCTTTCCACCTGTCCCCCACATCCTTGCTCAAAAGCATCCTGAGATCTGGGGTCTGCCATTCCAAGTGCCCTCCCGCCCACCAACCCAGTATGAGAGCATCATACTGGCAGGAAAAGGTCAGCTGTCGCAGACTGGCCTGAGGCAGTGCTATCTTCCCCATTAGGGGAGACATCCTGGCAGGGACAAGGTCACAGTGGGCTAGGGCCGGGCTGAGGCTGGGGGTTCCTGACTCTGCAGAGCCTTTCCAGACATAAGGCTCCCTGACTCCTCCTGTCTTCCAGCCAGCTCTGCTCTGCCCTGACCTCAGGACCTTGGACTGCTGTAGCCACAGCCAGCGAGACCTTGGGCCAGAAACTGAGGTCTGGGGACACCAGAACTTCAATCTAGATTTCCTGTTTTCCAGACCAAAAGACATGTCCAGCCTCCTCAGATCTGGTCCTGATCCTACATGGACCACCACAGACTCAGTCTGCAGTGTCCCCAGGCTTTAGAGCAGTAGCTTTCTGTTTCTGAGGCTTCACGTGGCTTCTCAAGTGCTGGACCCAGGGGGAAGATGTCCTCCAGGCCCAAATCAGGCAGCTCAAAGCCCCGGGGGGTGGGGTAGTATCACGGCGCTCAGCAGCCTCAGGGTGGGGCCAGCCTCCTCCCCGCCCTGGAAGTGACCTGCTCTCCTGAGAAACATGTGAGATGCTTCCACCACAACCATATCCAGAGCCACAGAGGGATGGAGAACAACTTCCGGGTCACCCAGGGAGGGAAGAGGACCTTTGAGAGGCAGATGACTCGGGATAGGAGAGAAGGGTAGAAGGGAACATTAGATCCTGCCGGAACAGAGTCCCAGAGCTAAAGAAGAGAGCCCACCATCTTGGACCCACTTCTTCCGCTCCATCAGGAAGCTTCCTCTGTCCTCGCAGCCTGAGGCTCCCCGGTGAGAACTCTCAGGTCAGAGTCCAGAGCAAGAGCCATTACTTTCTCCTCCCTTCTCTCAGAGGAGTGGGGATGGACGATCGGCTGGAAAGGAGGGTGTGGAAGAGAAGAGAGCCACATGAGGCCTCCTGCTACATGGGAGTTAATGGCTGGTTGGTCTCCAGGATGGAGAACCAGGGGTCTGCTCCTGGAACCGACGTGTCCCTGGGCATCCTGGGACCAGATGCTGATCCAGGGGCTGGCTAGTCTGTCAAGTGGGAGTGCCGGCCCTGAGCCTGGCACAGGGACAGAAGGCCTGGCTGGTTCTCCCACTTGATCCCCCCAGGCCTGGGACAATGTATTTCTTTCTACTGTCTAATTACCCCCCCCCCCATTTTTTATTTTCCTCCTCTCCTAGGCTCTGCCCACTGCACAATCGTGGTCCTTAGAGACCATGCCTGGACTATAGTAAATGTTCAACAAGCATTCAGATTTTCACAGGAGAGGAAACTGAGGCTCAGCTAGAACAGAGTTGTGGGAGGCCTCTGGGATTTGAATCCAGACAGGTCTCATTCCTAGAGCCAGTGCCCGCCTTCGGGCCTGGGCCGGGCGGGAGCTTACCCTGGCCGAGCTGACGGTGGTGGAGGTACCATGGCTGCCTGTGGACGAGCCGGTGTCGCTGTAGGAGACCATGGAGTAGGTGTCCCCGGCCCCAGGGCCCTGGGGCTGCCGCGCCTTCATGGACTCGATCTCCCGCCTCAGAACCAGGTGGTCAAAGCGGCCAAGGTCTTGAGGGGAGATGCTCCCCCGCACCTCAGAGAGCAGCGAGAACTGCAGGTGGAGGGAAGGGGGACCATCACCAGCAGGGAACCCCACCGACGGGGAGACGGGGACCCCTCACATGCCCAAATGATCTTCATGCGAACCCGACTCCGCTCTCCAACCCTCTGGGAAAAAAAACATGTCACATGACCTTGAGTCCTGAACACACCATGCTGGGCATGGCATGAATTGAGTGCCCTTCCCACCTGCCAAGGCTGTGTCCTGTCTCCCCACACGCGTTCCCCATGGCTGCGACCCTCCCCGGACAGCCAGGCGGCACCGACGCCCTGGCCCGTGGAGCTTGCTGAGGCTGGCTCCTAGTGGCAGCCGTGGGCAGTCAGCCAGCCTAGGATGAACAATCCGGGCCTTCCACCTGTACACTCCGTTCATGGTCACAGCCCAGGGCCCCAGTTGCTCCTGTGTCCCCAGGTTGTGGGTGACGAGGTAGAGGAGAAAGGGAGCAGATCACCTTGGCGTGGGTATCGAGCAGCTCGAACAGGGCCAGGACCAGCGCTTCCACGGAGATGCTGCCGCCGCGGTACTGACCCAGGTAGTAGGCCATGGTGGTGCGCTCCTGCTCCGTGAGCAGGTGCCGAGCCTGCTCGTCGAGCAGCGCACGCGTCTGGTTTCCCAGGCTGCTCAGGGTCACCTGGGAGCCGGCCGGGCCCTTGTAAAATCCAGGCTGCAAGACAGAGAGACAGAGGCTGAGGACGCTGAGCTGCAGCGCGTACACCTGGCACTTGCTCGTGTAACCCCTGGTACTTGCTCTGTCCTGCATCTAGCTGGGGGACCCCGTTATTCTCTAGGCTTCAGTATCTCCCTTGGTTACTTGGGGTAATACCAGCTATGCTTCTAAACCAGAGCACTGCCTCCATCACCAGCCTAATTCCGGCCTTCCCATCCTGTTTCCCAACCAGGTGAGCCTGGGCGCTATCTAGTCTCTCCCTGCTCCTCATTCCCTCTCTGTCACCTGCTCAAAATGGCCAAAGTGATCCTGCTAAAAACAAACAAACGAAAAAGCCCAAACAAATAAAACCCTACAAACCCCAAACCAAAACATAACAAACCCCTAAGAAGCTCTCTTTATCTCAGTCTTCCCCTCTCCTGCCTCCGGGCACTGGTACATGAACTCCACTCAGAGTGCAGCCCTCCTGTCCTGCCTAGTTTGGTGGCTCATCTGTTACCCTCGTATTCCCCTTCCTGCCTAGCCGCCCCCCATCCTCCCACCCCCTCCCCCTGAGCCTTGCCTCGAAAGGATGTATGAACACTCTTTCTAGTAAGATATTTGAGGCCTGCTACATTTCCACACGTCTCCTCTGATGGGTATGACCTCCAGGAGCACAGGGGCCTGGTCATCTGGGCACTGCTATCAGCCCTGGAGTCAAGGTGGCACCCAGAACCTGGCTGGTATCCCAGGTAGAAAGGTCACTGGCTGAAATGTGCTATGGGGTGTGACCTCCTCAGTGTATTGCCTGGGCCCGAGCTCCTTACCTAGCGGTGACAAAGAAGCTGCAGGCACCCCATGGATGAAGGACACTTACCTTGCTTGTCCCTTCTGTTGCCAGGTCCCCTGGAAACCTGTGGGCAGACAAGCACCTCAGCCACACCGCCCAGCAGGTGGAAGCAGGTGCATCAGCTGTGCAGGAGAAAGGCTGGGCTGAGTGGGCCCGGGAGCTTCTGCATGGCGGAATTCATGACACAGGCCCTGCAGGGGTCTGGCTGTATTGGGGGCCTATGCAGGGTATGAACAGCTGGCCTCGTATCAAAACAACGTGACCGCATTGCCAACGCCATATGAAATGGATCCTGAGTGGCCTCCAGACTTCTGAGATCAAGAGTTGCCATCCAAGCAGATGTGTTTAAGGGTCACGTGGCCTCTCACATGTCACTTGGTCACCTGACCCTGGGTACAGGACACTGGAGATTCCCCAGGGGCAGTTTGGAAGGAGGGGCTGCTCAGTTCAGGTCCACATCACACACACACTTGCACACAGAGAGAGACACACACACACACACACACACAGACACACAGACAGACACACACAGAGACAGACACAGAGAGACACACACACATACAGGCTCAGCCTGCAAGGTTTTTTTCCCCTGGTCGTGAAGTTTGAACTCCTGGCCTGGGCGCTGTCCCTGAGCTCTTTTGCTCAAGGCTAGTGCTCTACCACTTTGAGCTACAGCTCCACTTCCAGTTTCCTGGTGCTTAACTGGAAATAAGCGTCTCGTGGACTCCCCCCCCCCCAGCCCCAACTGGGCTGGCTGTGAACCACAATCTTGAGATCTCAGCCTCATGAGGAGCTAGGATTGCAGGTGTGAGCCACCAGTGCCCAGCTCATTCTTCTGATTTTAAAGAAACCTGATGTTTTAAAAACAAACAATACTTGTAACACTGTGCCTGAGGACAGGAGAGAGGACAGAAGTGATCTGGGTGTGTTTGTCACCAGCCAGGGGTTGAGACTTCAGATGGGGACCCCAGGTGACAACTATGCAGTTCCAGGCGGCTCTCTGTGCCTGGTTTATGCCTTCTGAGGCTCTTTCACCTACATTAACCCCCAGGATCCTCACTAGCAGGTCTGGGATGGGGACTGGGCTTGGATCCCTGCTTCTCAGATGAAGCTTCTAAGCCCTCAAGTGAAGGGACTTTTCCTGAAAGTAAATGCACCTCCAGGATGGGGAAACTGAGGCCAGGAAGGGCCAAAGCTGTAGTCAGGTCCTGCAAGAAGGGGCCCTGGTGGGGATGCCAGATGGGTGGGTGCCAACAGTGGCAGGGATGAGGGGCATCCGCTCTCAGAAGCCCCTGCCCCCACCCAAGCTGCACAAATGAGAGGTCCGACCCTGCCATGGCCGCGCTGGTGGCGCTCTCCCCGATCCGGGAACTGGCGATCCACTTGGTCTCATCCACGGTGGTACGCGCGTGGGGCAGCTTCCCCACATCCTTCACAGTCAGGATGAGATGCCGGGAGGACTTGAGCAGCTTGACCGCCTCATCATGCAGGATGCTGAGAAAGCTCTGCCCGTTCACCTCCAAAATCTGGTCCCCGACCTGCCAAGAGGCACACGACGGTCACCCTGGGACTGTGTGCAGGGCACTGAGCCCGGAGGGAGACTCTCCTCTTCTCCAACAGCCCGAGAGAGGTGATGTGAATGCCGGAGGTTGCACAGCAAGGCAGAAGCAAAGCTTGTTTCCACTGCCAGCCCTGAGTCAGCCCTGGGCCCAGAATGCAACACTCAAGAATTTTGCTAGCTGCTACCTTGCCCGTCTCCATGCAGCCTTCTCACAAATTCAGTAGCCAAGGTACAGAGCTGGGGAGATACCATGGGCACCCGGCCTCCCTAGGCAGGGTGGGTGGGAGGAGAAACTGCTTCCTGCCAGGCCTACTCACACCCATCCCGCCCAGCCGCTTCCATCTCTGCCCAGCAGGATCCTCCGCTCTGCTGCCTGCTGCAAAGCTGCCGCTCCATGCTTTGTTTCCGTGTGTACCCCCTCGGCAGAGCTGAGGGAATCTCAGCTTCCCTTCCACACATTTTATTTCATCCCTGCAGTTTGATAGAAAGGAACTCATGTCTGAGAGACCAGCTACGTCCAGGCGTGGGCCTCTGGGAACTGGGAGCAAGCCTCTCTACCAGGGAGCCGGCCAAAGGGGCCTCTGATCACCAGCAGGAGAGGAAGCGGGGAGAGGGCAAAACGCAGGATGCCTGTCACCCTAAGACATGGCTGATCTCACAGGTACCCACAGGCACCTAGCAGTGAGGAGTCCTTCACCCCGCTGCTGGGGGCTCTTGGAGGAGGGGCTGACCGAGAGCCATGGTTTCCAGATTTCCGTCCATGAGCAGTTGGTGGAGTGGCTGGGATGCTCCTAAGATTAGGATGGGCGTCCTGGGTACAGCAAAGGAACCAGGAGGAAGGGTGGGAGAGGTCAGTCACAGTGGCTTATTAGGAAAGCAAAAATCAGACCTGCAGGGATGAGGTGGACAGTGCAGGTAAGGACTGACAGCCCCGTTGCTGCAGGGGGGTGGGGGTGGGGGTGGGGTTCACTCACTGCTAGTAGGTGAGGAGGTGGTGCTAACAAACCTACTCACCTAAACTGAGGGCCTCCCCTCATGGCCCTCCCTAAATGGCCTGCACCTGGGGCCCTCTTTGCCCTTCCTGGTTTAATCTTGGTATGGCTGAGCGGACTCCTTAAAAGACCCAGGATAGTGTGTTTAACCCACTGGGCCCAGAGTGTGAGCATCTGGGCATTCCCCGTTCTAGCTCCTGTCGACTTGAATGTCCGTATTTCCCTGCCCTGCACACCCCGCCCCCAACTCAGGACCCTGAGATCAGCTGGAGCTGTGGACAATAAGCTCCATCTGGCTGCTTTCTGCTGACAGGGGTGGTGGGAGGCAGTGGGGGTGATTCAGGGGCCAGGTGCTCCGTCAGGACAGGAAAGCTGACAAGGCTCGGGCACAGAAGGCTGCTGAGGTGGTGGTCTTTCTGTGGCTGGACAGCAGGACAGTTGTCATAAAATGAAGTGGTCATCATGTCCCAGAGAGAAAGATGTCCAACAGCCTGGATGGGAGAAATCTTAACAAGGGTCTGCCCAGAATTTTTTTTTTTAAGTTGTTGGGGGCTGAAGATATGGCTCAAGGGATAGGGCACCAGGTGCAAGCAAGCGTGAGATCCTGAGTTTAAACCTCAGTACTCAGCTAGGCGCTGGTGGCTCACTCCTAGCTACTCAGGAGGCTGAGATCTGAGGATTGCGATTCAAAGCCAGTCTGGGCAGGAAAGTCCGTGAGACTTTTATCTCCAATGAACCACCAGAAAACCGGAAGTGGTTCTATCACTTTCCAACCCATGTATTTAAACATTTCTCTGGCCTGTGGGAATTAAGATGCAGCCGACCCAGCTCACAGTTCCAGGCCATGGATAGACTAGTACACGAGAAGCAGATTATAAGGGCCCACCGTTCTGCTTTGGCCTGAAGATGGAATCACCGTTATCTGGTAGAATACAAGGGGTCAAAGTCAGAAGATGACAGGTGTGCCTGGTTTGGGGTCAAGACCCTGAATAAGAACTTCTTCTCCATAACCTCTCTAACTTTAGCTACTTTTAGGGGATTAACGTGCCTCCATTTTTGCTTTTTTTGGTGCAGGTACTAGGGCTTGAACTGTGGACTTCACACTCACCCTTGGCTTTTTGCTCAGGCTTGCACTCTACCACGGAGCTGTACCTCCCACTGGAGCCACACTTCCACTCCCGGCCCTTTGCTGGTCAATTGGAGCCAGGAGTCTCACCCATTCCTGGGGGTTGTTTCAGGGCTGTTTCTACCCCCTTCCACCAAGAACTTAGTTGCTTCCAGCAACACCTTGCTGACTGTAGCATTACCACAACGAAAATCCAGATTCTTATTCATCATTATTACAATGATGAATCTTCCATAGTTTTCCATGTCAGGTATAAAACTTTAATGGGCTTCCCCTCTCCCATTAAAATAATGCAGTTTTAATGAGACGATATTACTTTTCCCCCAACAGTTCAGAAATCAGTAAACCCATATTTAAAAATAAGATTAAAAGATCAAGGCTAATGGCAAAGAGGTTCCTGAGGCCAGCTATCAAGGAGGGCTGGATTTGGGGTGGAAGGGGGTAAAGTTCTTCATCTAACCAGGCAGAACTCTCCAGAAATACACAGATGAGATTAGAAAGCCCATGCAAACCAAAATGCCAGCCGGTGGGCCCTGGTTCCTTCTAAACCTGGCAGACTTGTTCCGTGGGGGCAGCTCTCCTTAAAGGCTTCCTACACCCCTTGTCTTCAATGAAAAGCTAAGGCCTCGCCCTCTGAGTCAAGGTCAGAGCTAGGTGGAAAAGGTCATTCCTGAGTTCTTCCCCAGGAAGATGTGGCTTCCAAATTGAGGAATCCCAGGGGTCAGATGCAGGAAGAATCGATTGGGGAGTCCACGTGCCTTCTTGGCATGACACAGAACTACACAATTACTGGGCACCTACGTGGCAGGGGGGCTTTCCTGCTTCCTGTTTCCAGAGGCGCGGTGGGGCTTGCTCACTCTTTCAAGGACACCCAGCCTGCTAACGCTGGAGCAGGATGACTCCAGCCCAGAAGAGCATCCACTCGCCCAATATTTCCACTCAGACGACTCCAGGGCCCCTGAGCCAGCGCTGCCCACAGAACTTTCTAAGATCATGGAACTGTTCCAAATTGACACTGTCCAAGAATTGGAGCCACCACTATTTGGGCTGCAATTAGTCACATTGAAATACAACTGAAGTCATGTCGCCAGCGGCCATGGGTGAGCCACCCAGATGCAGCAGAGGCCTGCAGATGAGGGTGCTGCCGGAGATAAAGAAGGAACCTCTGGCCTTCTCCGCCCTTCCTACCCCACAACCCCCCACACCTCCAGATGCATGGGGTCCACCATCAGGACTACTTTCCCTCCCAAAAGACCCTGGGACCCGTTTCTCTGTGGATTCTACTCTGTTCCTGGTCCTGTCCTCTCCCCTCGACCTCCAAAGTGGCCTCTGCTTCACTCTCACCCCCACCCCAATCCCTTCTGTGCATGCTAGAGGGACTGATTTAAACCGCAAAAATCTGCCCCTGTGGTTTGCGAGCACCTCCTGTACCTGTGGCTCACTAGCTCATCTCACAGGCCCTTCCCCACCTCAGGACCTTTGCATATGCTTTCTTCTACCCTGAACACTTTTCCCTCCATACTTCACCTGGATGACACTAGGCAAGCTCCAGGTCTCCATTCAAATGTGCCCTCTCTAAGGCAGGAACTGCCTGAATTCAAAGTGACTGTGCTGGGCCCCTGAAATGGCATGGTGGGTGACTTTCCACAAACACTGAACAGACTTCACGGATGGGGACACAAGGAATGAAAGAAATAAAGGGATAGGCAAGCACAGAAAGCACCAGCCAGGCGGAAGCCATTTCTTTCTAATGTAAAGGTCATCCACGCAGGGGCCTGGGTACGGGCAGCCCCGCTTCACATGACACTGGCCAGATTTCCCTCAAACACAAAGCAAAGGGAGGCCCAATTCTGTTGTGTTTTCCTTGGCCTCGCACCGGGAGACACGACATGCACTTACACAGCCCCCTTGTTCCAGAGGGCAGGCCGCCAGAGTGAGGGGTGCAAGGTCAGGGGTCTGGGCCCACACCCTCCCAGACAGGTAGAGCAAACCTGGCCCAGCCTGCTAACCTGCTTCTGAGTGCTCTGCAAGTGTTCAAGTCCACAGCCGTCACAGACATCAGCTGAGAGGTCGGAAGATGTCATAGGAGGGGAACCCACCCAATTTTTTGTGCTTGAACTCAGGGCCTCATACAGCTGTTGTTCTACCACTTGAGCCATGTCTCCAGCTCAGCTTTTTGCTGGGTATTTTGGAGATGGGAGTCTTGCAGATTTTTCTGTTCAGGCTGGCCTGACCTGGGAGGGAACAGCCAGGCAGTAGAATGAACTGGAACAGGTGGGGCCAGGGGTTGGGGTGTACAGAATTGCCCCATGGACAAGGCAGCGTGAACCAGTGGCAAAGAGGGATTTTTTTTTTCTGGTCCTGGGGCTTGAACTCAGGGCCTGGGCTCTGTCTCTACCACTTGAGCCACAGAACCACTTCTAGCCTTTTGGAGTAGTTAATAAGAGTCTCACAGACTTTCTTGCCTAGGCTGGCTTCCAACCATGATCCTCTGATCTCAGCCTCTTGACAATGAAGCTTTATAAAAGTACCAACCTACTCTATTGGAAAAGACCCAAGGAGTGAAGACCCCACCGTGGACTGAATGTGATTCCACAGTTCATCCCCCGACCCCCCTTCTGACTGTATGTGGAGGCAGGGCCTGCAAGGAGGTGGTGAGTGTAGATGGCATCACTGATCGATGACATCATTGGGGCGTGCCCTGATCCACCAGGACCAGCGCCCTCTAGAATGAGGAAGAGATGGAGGAGTTCCTTCCCAGATGTAGTCCATTTCCAGAGGCCGCCCACATTCCTAGGCTGGGGACCCCTTTCTTCACCTCGAGAGCTCATATTGCCAGGCAAGTAAGTCTTTCTCACC